CCCCGCGGCCCCGGGCCTCCCCCGGCCCCGCCGCCGCTCACCGCCTGCCCCGCCTTGTGTCTCCTCTCCCTCAGCCTCTTCATCCTCTGCAACGAGACCGTCAACATCTGGAGCCACCTGCTCGGCTTCCTGCTCTTCTTCACGCTGGGCATCTACGACCTGACGGCCGTGCTGCCGGCGGCCGGCGCCTCCCGCGAGGACTTCGTCATCTGCTCCGTCTGCCTCTTCTGCTTCCAGGTGGGCCCCGGCTCGCTCCCGCCACGGCGGCGCTCTTCGAGGGCAGAGCCGCTGCGGGTGGCTCGGATTTGGCCTGGAATAAGCTGGGGGAGACTGAACCGCATACGGCTGGCATAGGAGGGAGTCAGTGGCAAACGAGCGCGTTTGTCCAGGCCGTGTCTCAGAGCCTCCGCAGCGCGGACGCGGCTCCAGGTGGCACCGGCTGCTGCTGGAAAGGGCCAAGCACCGGAGCAAGGAGATCAGCCGTGGCCTGATGGTCGGGAAGGGCAGGAGGGCTGCTGGCCTGACTTGGTACTTGTCAGATAAATCTGTTTCCACGGCAGACTTCAGGCGTGTCTGTGCAGGGCCGCTGCAGCTGCTGTGAAGTGCACTGTCCTTGCTAACAGCACAGAGAGCTAAAGGCACCGGCTGTGTGCTCTGCTTGGCACAGGATGCCTTTGTACAGCCCCAAGTGGGGAGAACTCCCTCCCTGGCTGGGAAAACACTGCTCTAGTGCTCCTCCCTGCTCCTGCAGCAGGTCACAGAGAACCAAACACTTCTCAGGGAAAAGATTTTAAAGCCAACCTAGAAGCAAAAAAGCAGCTTGTGTGTACGAGTTATATTTCTGTGAGTTCCCTCAGTAAAGGCACGTGGTGGCTGGGCAGTCAGGGCAGATTTGGGCTTTGGGCTCTGCCTGGGGCAGTTTGGCCCAGCAGAATTCATCCTCCCCCTGCACTGGTGCCGATGTGTCTCCCTGGAGCACTGGCAGCTCGCTGAGCCTCACAAGCCCACTTTCCTTACTTGTGCAACTGGTTATCATGGTTTACAGTGTCCTGCTCCTCCTCCCCGCTGCCAGAGAAGCTTTTTGGCTGGCTGGCTGGCAGGGATCACAAGTGCCTGCACCAAGGTGTGCTGCACAAGACATCACAGGCTGGGCACCTGCTCTGGCTGCAGAGCTGAAACCTGCTGTGCCCCCTACTCCTTCATAAGGATTTAACCCTCCTCCTCTGGCCCTCTGTGCAGGTGTGTATGCTTTGCTCAGTAGGATATCACCTGTTCTGCTGTCACCGCTCCGAGAAGACGAGCCGGCGCTGGATGGCACTGGATTACGCGGGAATTTCCATCGGGATCCTGGGCTGCTACGTGTCAGGCGTGTTCTATGCCTTCTACTGTAGTAACGTGAGTCAGGAGCATGTGTCCTTGCAGGGTTTGTTGAGTTCTTGTGCTCTCACTGTGGTTTCCGTGCTGCAGCAGCGGGGTTCAGTGCAGGTGTCCAAACAGAACAGGCGTGGGGAGACAGGGATGGGAACTGGAACACGTCCCTCTGACCTCAGCAAAACTGTGCTGGCTGAAGAGAAAGGCAAATACAGGTTTTCCTTTCCAACTGTTGATTGCACAAGTCTCAAGAAAATATTTAAATTTCTCTCAAGGCAGGGAAACTTTACAGGTCCTACCTGTATCCAGTGCCTGAAGCACTGGATCATGGGATGTGTCCCACCACAGCAGTTATTCAAACAGCATTGCCTGTGAGGTAGCTGCTATGAGGCACAACCACCTTTGCTTTCTCTCCATCTAACTGAAAATGAATAAATGAGCTCCCTCTCGAGGCCTGCTGTGGACCTGGCTGTCCAGGAGCTGCACTGGGCTGGTGAGGCACAGGTGCACTGAAAACATTTTGTGCAGGAAGTGCTTGGAATACAGGATGTGGTGCCCCTGAACAACAGAGTCCCTTTCCCTCAGTGCCAGCTGACAAACACAGGGCCCTGCACACACAGTGGGGACAGGCTGAGGTATTGCTGTGCTCACTTTCTGCCCATAGTTGACTTTTGCACGTGATAAGAAACCCACAACCTTGCCTTTGTTTCTTTTTGCCCTCAGTACTGGCGCCAGGTGTACTTGATCACTGTGCTGGCCATGATCCTGGCAGTGTTTTTTGCTCAGATCCACCCCAGTTACCTCACACAGCAGTGGCACAGGCTGCGCTCCGTCATCTTTTGCTCCGTGTCTGGCTATGGAATCATTCCCACCCTCCACTGGGTTTGGCTCAATGGTGGCGTCGGTGCATCCATTGTACAGGTAAAAAAAAAGGAAGGAAGATTGCCTTTTGCTTTTCACTTGCTGTCTTCGAGCCCTCTTACACTTGGGGAAACAATGGAAACGCAGGAGTTAAAATTCCTCTAAGGACAGAATTCTTTTGGTCAATATGATCCAAAAGGGAACACTGAGAAATGTGTTGAGCGTGGATAGGCAGCTTGGGAAGCTTCATTCTGCCCTAAAGCTGCATGGGAGATCCAGGTGTGTCTGCCTGGGCACAGAGCAGCCTGTGTGGGCAGACCGCACCCTCGCCAGGGCCGAGGGCCAGGAGCTGAGGCTGTGGAGCAGGAAGGAGCCTGTCAGGCTGCATGAGTGCTCAGGGCTGGCCACCTCCACAGCTCCAGAGGGCAACCAGGAGACAGTGGGATGATGGGATGATTATTTGTCTCCTCTTCTGCTCTCTAGGATGGCAGCAAAAATCAGCATTTAGCTGCTGAGCCCTCTGTCTCCTACACAATACTCTAACATCTTTCACATTACTGCTTTCTTGTTTGTCTCACCACTTGGAGTTATGCTGTGAAAGCAGCAGCCCAGAACAGTTAAAGGTAGTCCAGTGTGCCCCAGTATGAACCACTCTGAAATCACTGCAGTTACCCAGGCACCCTTAATGGTGCTGAAGGAAACACTTCCTTTTCATAGTGAGCACGAACTGCACATGCCTGGGCTGGCCTGATGGATGGCTGTCCCCTGCAGTGAGGGTTCAGCCTGGTCCAGAGCTGCTGTGGAATGTTGCAGAGCACCCCTCAGAAATAAATGTGGCCTTTATACAGAAAATTTCGCACTGGCCCTCTAAAAATCATACGAATAGCAGTTGTGCCCCCCACACTTCCCCATTTGGCTTCTCCTGGGGTAGCAGGATGGTGTCTGTGGTACACATTTCATTTCCATAATTCAGAAAAATGGCCCAGTTTGGTAACCAAACATTCTGCTAACAAAATCCACCTGGTGACTGAGTTGCTGGTTATTGACCACCCATTGTGAGCAGTCATATGGGCTGCGATCCCAGCACACGTGGGACGTGCAGTGCGGTGTCCCTTGCCCTGGTGGTTGTGTGCAGGTGACCTTTCACACACAGCTGCTGTGTCTGCTGCTGGCTGAACTCAGTAGCTTGCATGTTGAAGCGAGAGGCTGGGATAAAAGAGGTTTCTTCCCACTCAGGCTTTGCCAGAGTTTGGCATGTGCATCCCCACTGGATTTGTGCATAGCTAACACAGGCAGGGAAGGAAGATTAGGCGTTGTCATGCCTTTTCCTTTCTTATCTTTAGGGAAATTTTTTTTCATTTTTGCCTTCTAACAGAATAGGAGAGCTTCCTTTTCTTTTGCAGGAGTTTGCTCCGCGGGTATTTGTCATGTACTTCATCGCTGCTGTAGCTTTTCTCTTCTATATTTCCAAAGTTCCAGAAAGATACTTTCCAGGTAGGAAATTCTCTTCTGGCTGTGTTTTTTTTCCTCTGCAGTTAAGCTTCCTATAGTGTCAGAGTCCTTGCTGTGGGTCCTGAGCTTCCTGGGAGAGAACAGGCTGACCATGTTCCCCATGCAGTGTTCCCAAGCAGAGCAAAAGTGGGAAGAGGCAGACAACTTCTGTCAAGTTCGTTAAAGAACTCCCTGTCACCCCTGACAAGGCAGGGTCTGGCGGAGCTCTGCAGGAGACAGATTTCTGATGGCACTGCCGCGCTGTGGCCGTGTTCAACAGCTCAATTCCGTGCCCCTCTTCTCCCCCACAGGCCAGCTGAACTACCTCGGCTCCAGCCACCAAGTGTGGCACATCCTGGCAGTGGTGATGCTCTACTGGTGGCACCAGTCCACGGTGTACATCATGCAGTACCGACACAGCAAGCCCTGCCCTGAGTACAGCGCGGACTTGTGAGCCAAGGTACGGCTGTTGGCATCCTCGGGGACCAGGATCCTCTAAACACAGGCTTCAGGAATCCTGGCCTCAAGCTCAGGTCGCTGCCCCACACTGGGTCCTGACTGGTGCAAACAAAAGCAGGGATGTGATTCCAGGCACTCTGCTCACCTGTGCTGCTGCACTGGATGAGGCTCTGTGGAGCGGCTGGGCCCTTGAGCAGTTTTACAGCAGGCTGGGCTTAGCCCTGCCAGATCCCTTGCAGCTCAGCGTCACAGTCTTAGCAGTCTCAAACCATCATCGTACTTGTCCTTTTCCTCAGGCTTTTGTCAGGTTTTCAGTCTGCCTGGAAAAGTCTTACCATTGATCTGGATGCTGTGGAAATCAGATGAATTGCCAATTCCGTGTGCACAGTTTTTTACCTTGTTCCCCTGCTCTGTTTCAGAGGCAGCATCGGAGGATTTGTGACTCTGAGGGTCTGGACCTCATGTGATGAGCTGCGCTGTCAAGGACTGAGGCAGTTCCTCTCCTGACTCCTGGAATGTCACCCCCTTGCTGGGACAAAGCGTTCCTGCAAGCTTTGATAAACACAGCAGCACTGCCTGGGATCTGAGGGGCATTTCCTTCTCAGGCAGTTCCTACTCTGCAGTCAAGCACCAAACAGCTCTCGCTGGAGCGGGACAGCAGGAGGCTGAACTAACCTGGCATGCAGATCCCAGCGGGATGTTTTGTTGCCTGGCAAACACAAACGGCTCAGCCAGGGGTGCTCGGGCCTGGACACCAGGTTTTCAGGTGGTGTGCACTGTTAGGAGAACACTTCTGACAGCGTGCCTGTGAAACTGTAGCAACTGTGGGAGCCAGTCTTGGATCCAAACCACAGCCCTGTGGGCTGTGCATCCTTCAGCCTTTGTGTGGAAGATGTGCTTATGCTTCAGCGCTGGCACAGGAACGCGTGAACTGGAACGCAGCGGATTGAAGTCCTGCTCTGGATGAGCTCTTTCCACTCCCTGGGAGATAAGATCACATGACATCCAGCACACCTAGATCTTCACTGCAGGTCTTTAAAACAGCCTCCCCCAAAGGGGGTCGTGCCATTGCTTGGAGATATTTCTATAAATCCCATCAGTTATATGGAATCGGTATTCCAGAATATTCTAGGAGTAGCACTAAGCCTGCGTGTCCACGTTTGTTGCTGTTTCACAATCAGTGAACCTGCTGGGGATGCAGATTGCTGACCTTTGGCCTGTCCATGTGTGCAGAATGATACTGCACTCGCAGACACCGCTGTCCAAAAGGACCTGCTGCCACCATCCTGCCACAGTGCCAAGGGTGTCTGGAATTTGAGGATGTGCTGTGGAATCATCTCTTACAAAACCAACACCGAGGAGCCATGAAATACACTGGCCATTGCGCAGCTGCAGCCCAGCACAATTAAGCTCCAGGGGTGCCAGTCTTCCAAACAGCATTGAAATCCTTTGGACTTCGGGGCTAGAGGCAAGGATGCTGTTGGGACTAATCCTGAGTGGCTGTGTCCTTGTGGAGAGGGCTTCCCTGTAATCCACCGGGAGAGGCTGGCTCCGTGCAGGGACTTCCTCAGGGCAGGCAGGCTCTGCTAGTTGCCCAAAGCTGCCTCTCCCTGGGCTAAGGCAGAGGAGCAGGACTTGTTCTTCTGTCAGGATGTGCCAAGGTGACCTGGAGTGGAGGTGGAGGCTTACAGAGAGGCACCTGAACTCCCAGGGCATGGAGAAGGCAGCATACGAACTCCTCCTGATGTGCTGGGCAGGGATGCTGTCTGTTTAGCTCAGAGGGTGGTTTTGGTGCTTTTTTTGTTGGTTTTTTTAACCTCCAGAAACCAGTATTGGCAAAACTGCCTCTGCATTATGGATTCAGCTCCCAGAGCTTTAAGCCTTTCAGTGTGAACACTGATTTTTTTACGATTTTTTTTTTTACTTGACAGCCAATCAAGTTTCAAGTGCACTAATTACTACTACTGAAGCCTGACAAGGAACTTGCGAGTATCAAAGTCTGTCCCAGTGTTATATGTACAGTAATACCCGAACCATGTGTCTGTGCTCTGAAATCACACTGACTTTAGCATTTGCTAATGTATTTTTTTAATGGGAACTCTCATCTACTCTAGCAGTTTTCACCAGATAAGGAAACTGATTGCCAAGCTGTGCATTTTTACCTGACACAATTTATCAAGCTGCATGATGGTCTTTGATGTACATACCGAACTGATAAATAAATTCCAGTTCATTGGCTTTTTCCTTGGAGTAACATCATTCCTGCCTCTCGTGCAGGGAAACCACAAATATCAATGGCTCAGCCCCAGAACTTGTGCCACATCCTGGGGGTTACAGAGACTGGGATTTTGGGCAGAGAATCTCTAGGTGAATTTGCTGGTGAACTCAGCTTCGCAGCCCCCTACCCCTACTCTGTTTAACAGAGTTCTGCTGTCGCTTCATCTGTTCATGACCATTTCCATTCTTACTTCAGCTCACCCAAGAGTAAAATCAATACAAGGAGCATTCAGAAAACCTGCTCCAGTAAACAGCTGCAGGAAGGGGCTCACACCACGTTATAGTTCTGTCTAGAAGTGCAGAGCTCAGTCCACAGCAGTGGCATTGGGAGCTGCACACGCTCTTCTGCAGGAAGGCTTTAAGGAGTAGCACTGAACCAAAGGAATTCAAAATAACACGTGCTCCACAGATTTTTAACCAGCTGGACACAGCAAGATGTGGCAGCAAATACAACTACTTACAACACTTATGAGAGTCACAGGTGCTTACAGCTACCAAACCAGTCAGCAGCACTGCTTACAATGAGTAAACAAAAGCCTAGACACGAATACTTCACGATGCAGTGTTGAAGAGACCTGCAAAGGCACTGTTATCAGGTTTGTTTATTTGATAACTCCAAGGATTTTATGATATACATCAGCTTCACAAAAAAAGTTAAAAGTTCTCGCTTTAGTAGTACACAAAAAAGCTTTAGAAACTCCAAGTCTAAGAAGAAATGGAAGTGTAGTTCAGGCAAGTGCACTTAAAAGCTGAATGCCAGCAATTTTAAAATAGTTTTTATGCTCTTTAATACTAGGTGATGCCTCAGTCGCAACTTTAGCCATACACACAATCTCCTTGACTTCCTTCCAAGATAAGCTCTGTGGAACATACAGCAGCCACCCTTGATGCTTAACTCAAATTCACTCAAGTCACAAACATGATTGTGGCTGCTGGGTTTCCCAAACCACAGCAACTCCAAGGGGTACGTGATGTGTGCGAGCATGTGTATATTTTATATATACTTCTTATATATAAAAATACACGATATAGTATAAAAAACTCCAGATAAACTCTTATTCTCACAGTAGCAAATATATCAACTTATTTTCACAGTACTCGGTTTTACTCACTGGGACACCCAGAATGATTATAAGCTTTTTCCTCCAACGCTGGTGCTCACAGAGCCCCCCGGCACACACAGGGCAACCAAAGCATTAATTATATTAATTACACACCTCAGGGCCTTTTGAGTCTGCAGACAAACACAACAAACTGGTTCTTCTTTCTGTGACCACAACCCTTAAGGGCTTCTTAGTACCCTGGGACAGACGCTCTCTCCAGCAGCTGATCCTAGAAGGTCTGTGCTTCAGTCCCTCAGCATGCTCAAGGAGCAGCTGTAAAAATCCATTGGGATTTCTGTCTGGAAGGGAAGTGTCAACCCCTTACCCTGCCCTCTTGCTACCACAGGCAGCACCTACGTGTCTACTGCAGCAAGGGCTTTCCTGATTTCAAGTAAGGTCACATTGCACTCCACACCTCCCGAAAAAAGGCAAAGGAGATCCCATGCCCTGACAGACACATTTCACCTCCTTTCAATAGCAGACAGTGGGTAACCCAAAACATGGGTTCAGCTGTGCATTACTACGTACACCAGGCAAAGTCAGCTTAGCGGGGTGCACCAGTCTCACGTGGACCATGAAAAAAGATGAAATAACTCCAGACAAAAAAGTTACATGTTACATGTAAGCAAAAACCTGCTCGAGTACAAAGAACCAGGTTTGTTAAGGCCATTAGGAGGCAAATATCATAACTCCTGCCAGCTCTGGAGTCAGTGGGGTCTGCAGTTTGCCTTACCTCTCTCCTTGAGCTTCGCTGTGCTGCAATACAACTACACCCAGACCCTCTGCCAAAGCCCCCTGCAGCCCTCCTCCACCTGGAGTCTCGGGGTAAACCAACAACACGTGAACACCTTTCCTATTTTTAATTTACCTAATCACTTCTGCCACACTGGGTCTGCTGATGCCCAGCCTCCTCCCTGTATGTCCAACAGCCCCCACCTCTCCTCCAGGCCCTGAAGCCAAGCCCCAGCACCATGGGCATGGTTAACCTTTACCCTTGCTTTCCCACTGGGAGGGCAGCAACAGCATGGCTTTGGTGAGGACCAGCCACAATTAGGACCACAGTGCTAATCTCATGTTGAGTCCACCCCACTGCCCCATTTGTCATCCTATGCTGTTCCAAGAGCTCTTCACGCAGGTAACAGCTCTGAAGGATGCTGAGAAAGGCAGCTCCATAAGCATGCACAGAGGGAAAAATAAAAAAAGGAAAATGACTGTTAACCTGAGTGTCAGAAATGCTACAAAAGTTGGCGTGTGCTTCTTGCAGCCTTTGGCACCAAACAGGTGAGAAGAGCAGTAATAAAGCCTGAAAAGTCCTGTGTTGAAATGCTGCTACTCAATCTCCTAAGGGCTTAACTTCTAAGCCTGGAAAAGGCACGCTGAAGCAGGCACAGCTGCAATATTCTACTTACACCCTGTGAGAAATGAAACCGAGGAAGATGAAGGCAGCAGATATCTATACCCCATCACTGTGAGCTACGTTCAGATTCCAGGGCTAGGGGAAGCCATCTCACTTTTGTCCTAGGGGGCATTTTATCAAGGTGATCCCAAAGGGGTCATTCATTCTCAATGTGTTTTCAGTGTATATTGTAAGGGACCAAATCCACCCCCCTCAGAGATGTCAGGATCACAGATCTGTACATCCAGCAGTCGGGGGAAAAAGCTCACAACCCTGCATATTTCACTTCACCTGTGACAGGGGGGACATCAGGACACCCGGCCACAAACAGTGATGTCCTCCATGTGCAAACACCCAGCTACCTACTCCTGAGCCTCCGGTGGAGCAGGACAGAAAGGGGAGCCCAATTGAGGAGCCACGTCCTCCCGTGTCCCCGTGAGGATGGCCATGGGAGCCAGGCAGACAGGCTGGGCTGAGGAGCGCCGTCCCTGCAGACGCTGGCTGTGACATGGGACAAGCTGCGAGGCAGCAAAGCTGTCCCACCTCCACTCAGCACCACCTGCTGTACCACAGGTAGCAAACCCTGTGCTCGGCAGCGTTCACACCTCCTCCCGTCAGCCCAGGCACCTCCCGGAGCTCCTTGGCCTCCGAGGTGTTGGGCAGCAGGACAGGGGTCCTGCCCAAAAGGTTCTGTGGGATGAAAGGCAGCTCGGCAGCCCTGCAGCCAGCAGCTCCTGCTGGAACACAGCCGGGGCAGGAAACATCTCCAAAGCCCAGTGCATTTAGCAAACCCTAAGAGAGCATTAGGTTACAGTCATTTCAAACTGCTGTGCTAAAAAACCAACAGGTTTGACAGAATACACATTTTCTTTGCAGTAGAAACCCAAGAGGAAAAGACACAAATCCCAACTTGTAATCAAATCACTCCAATGGTTGTACCTCACAGTCAAGTCCACAAGTCATCTGAAACACTCTGTATGTGCCCGAGGACAGCCCCTCTTCCACTGTGCTGAGGAGTCTCCCAAGTGCTGCAATCCCAGCCATGTCCCTGCTGGCTCACTCCCCTACCCATTCAGGCTTCTCACAGATCAGTAAATTATCTGCTTCTTTAGTTTTGACTCTACATTACCAGTTTGCTATTTTTCATTAATGGCACTTACTATAAAAAAAAAAATAATTAAAAATTGACCATTTAGACACACGAAGAAATAGTCTGCCTGTCATCTCTGCAGCTGCATAGATGTCTGCAAGGTCCCAAGCCATAGCTGTGCTCTGGAATTCTGGGCCACAGCCCCTTGAGGATGTGGCTGCTTTACTTTTATGATTAATAAAGGTAGTTTTCACCTAGGAAGCAAAGACTTGGCCATTTCCAGCACATGATCTGGTTATCAGTGTGTCTTGGTTCATAGGTCTGCTGAGACACGAAGAAGCACCGCAGTTCATTAGCCCCCTGTACATATGGAAAACATTTTCCATGTGCTCCCTGCCTCTTCCGCTCCACCGGGGCACAGGGCAGAGGGATGGAAAGGCAACACCAAAGTGCACAAGGACAGTATGTCCCAGGGCCCCAAGTCAGTGACAAGGATTCACATCCAGCTCCTCGTTTCATTCCAGGAGCCATCTGCCACAAGGAAACAACATGCCTGATTTTTTTCTCAAAAAGACCCAAATCAGAACTAGCCATTATCTGCAATTCCACCACGCACGCAGGCCACTGCCTCCTCAGCCTGAACAAGCTGTACAACCCAGGCCCCTGGCATTTTAACCACATAAGATACTCCACTAAACCTTTATTAAGGGACTTGGAGAGGTGGAGTGGGGGGAACCCACTGGCAGCCTCTACTGTTTAGAAGGGAACGGAGCTGCTCCAAAGGGATCTAACTCCAGCGCCTGCTGCGGTTGGCTCTGCGTGCTCTGCACCACCAGCTCTGTGAAGGGCACCGCACCAAAGTCATCTGTTTTCAGCCCGTCCCCCCCGTGAACGGCCCCATGCAAGGAGCTCTGCCTCGGCCTGCCAGGCACCACCACGGTGCCGTGGTCCCCGCGGCTGTCCCCAAAGCCCTGGTGCTGGCCGTGGCGCATCAGCTCCGGCGGGTGGAAGGGTTTGGCTCCAAACGGATCCAGCAGAGTCTCGTCCGTCTGCAGAGGGTTGGCTCGATCCTTGCTGTCGGTCAGGGCCACGCTGATGTTCTCCTTGGAGTCCGAGATGGTCAGGAACTCGTTGCTGCTCTGCGAGTCCCTGCGGCCAGCCTTCCTGTGCCGGCGGGCGCGCTCCGGGGTGCGGTAGCTGGGTTTCAGCCCCTTCTTTGTGGTGGTGGGGGTGCCGTGATGGCGCTTCCCGTTGTTCTTGGGCACCTCCTGCTTCATGCGCCTCTGGCGGGAAGACAGTTTCTGCAGGTTCCGCTGCTGCTTCACCTTCTGCTGCTGCTGGCTCCCCGTGATCTCCTCAAATGGAACCAAGCCAAACA